ATGTACCTTGGACATTTTATCAGGGGCATCTAGTGCCTGGAGAAAGACATTATACTTGGTAAAGTAGAAGGGGCCAGCAAAAAAGATAAGAACCCTCTAAGAATTGGACTGACACAGGAAGTCAAAAATAGGTAACCAAGTACAGCAGAGACTGAGAATGACAGGTAATGGCAGAGTTTCCTTCACTTGTCCACAGGGTCACTAAGGGTCCGAGCTGACTCCTAGCAATTGTAGTGTAGCTGGCACCTAATAGAAATAAGACTAGTGCTTTGGTTAGTATGTTTTTTGCTGTATCTTTTCATCTCTATTTTCAACCTGTCTACAATACTATTTATTTTTTGTAACCAATTTGCAATGGGACTTTTCAGAAACTAAATTTACATAGTTCTAATCTGACACACATGGAGTTATGAGTCAGAATTGCCTCCCTAGCAACTAGTCTTTGAAATTTAGGGTATGGGTCAGCATTACCCCAATTTCCCTTTTCCCTTGAAAGAACAGCTGTGTGTACTTGGATTTGGAAAGTAACTTCCTTTGCAAGGTGTGGTGTGACTTTTTGCCTTTGATCTTTAGCTCAGTTATACTGAGTAGAGGGTCAGAGCTCCCCATGAAGAGACTAGGCAGGAGGTTGTTGTTCATTGCTGTCAAGTTGGAACTAGTTCATGGCTGATCCTCAGTATTCAGAGGCCATAAACACTGGAAGTGAGGAGGGGGAAGGCTTATTTTTCCCCCTAGGAACAGCTGGTGGATTTGCACTCTGAGTTTAGAGTTGGCAGCACAACTCCCTACCCCCTACGCATGGCTTGGTCAATCTGTGTTCAAGAGGGAGTAAGAGAGCAATCTGAGTTAGAATCCTTTGTTTGGAGTCTGTTACAAATAGATATCTTGCTTCATGCAAAAATTTTCAAGGCAAAGACATACAATTTAAGGGTTATTCATTTGGCTAGAAATTGCCAGATTTACTAGTCAAGGAGCACTGAGCCAATGCACATTATCTAAACAAAAGATGTCAGTGATACTTTGTTTCAAAGGCATCATGTAATTTTGCTCATTATTCTTATCTTCAGGGAACTCTGGTGGGCTAGTGATAAGGAGTTGCTTTGCCAACCTAAAGGCAGGTGGTTTGAAACTACCAGTTTCTCTAAGATGGTTAATCCTTGTGATTTACAGTATCCGAAAATCCACTAAGTTAATTGATCAGCTAAGTCATTAGGAGAGTTGATGAGATTGTTAACAGCTTTAGTGTGCTTGGCTCCACAATTAACACTCTTGGTACCAGCAGGCAGGAAATTAAAAGACAAAATGCACTGGGAAAGTGCTGTCAGAGACCTCTCCAAAGTACTGAAGAGCAACAATGTCTGCCTGGAGACTAAGGTGCCCTGATCCAGGCCATAGTCTTCACAATTGCTTGTTATATGTCAGAGAGCTGGACAATGATTAGGGATGGTAGAGAATTGATGCCTTTGAGCTGTGGTGCTGGAGAAGAGTATCGAGAATACCATGGACTGCTAGGAGAACATGCAGGTTCGTCCTAGAGAGGGTGAAGCCAGGCTGCTCCTTGGAGGCAAGGATTCTGAGGCTTCATCTGACAAATTTTCGGCATGTTCCAAGGAGGGACCAGTCCTTGGAGAGGGATGTCATGCTTGGGTAGGTGGAGGGACAAAGAGAGAGAAGATCATTGATGAGATGGATTGATTCAGAGGCTGGGGTAATGAGGGTAGGCATGTCAGACAGTAAAGTTGGCACAGAATAAAGCAGGTTTCAGGGCTATTGTACATAGGGTCGCTATGAATTACAAGTGACTTGACAGCACATAACAAGTCAGTTCTGACTCTACAGAACATTATAGCAACCTTAATCTCCACATGCCGCGAGTCTGTAAATGTCCTACATCATACCTGGTTTGGAGGCATTTTCTGAAGAGCTAATGTCTCCCTCCATTGAATTTCCCCATCTGACAGTACACACCATGATTTTACAACAAAGGCAGCTAGCTGCACGTCCCAGTGCCTTTTACAATTTCCTTCCTGCTCCTCCCAAGCAGGAAGGGGGAGCAGAAGGAGGGTGTGTGGGCAGGAAGGCAAGCTACAGCAAAGAATGATTCAAAGAAATGACTACTTCTCCCTGGGAATTCTGATTCTACACACTTCAGTGAGAACATCCAAATCCCACCCTCTGCCCATTTCCCCCTCTTTTCTCCTACACACCAGCAATGCAGGGAACGTGCTGAATCTTGCCAGGCAATGCACACTTTCTCTTGACCTTCAGACTCCATCTCCTGCAATCTGATGGTCCTGGCAGGATCAGTTCTATGCATCATAGAACTTTGATAAACAGCCGCCTTAGACCTTGTCTCCCTCTTCACATACCGTCCTTTGCTCAGGTTACCTGTGTATACTGTTTTGATCCTAATCCAGCTAAAGCTCTTTGGGAACTGAGGTGATTTCTCACAGATCCTCATTTGCTTACTAAACCTAGCTCAGTCCTCTGTACCAAGCACTCTGAGAACCAGGTAATACTTTTTAAAGGCACAGTCAACACCATAATGTAAATGAGCAACAATTCACTATTGCTGTTCACAGCCTTCGAGTTGGAACTGACTCACAGCTGACCCTCGAGTGGGTTTTCAGAGTTGCTGTCAGAATTCTGAAGAATTCACGAATAAGAGATTGATACTGTTTCCCACTTTGTGGAGTTCCTGGGTGGTGCGAATGGTTTGTGTGTGGCTACCAACTAAGTTGATGGAGGGTTGAGTTCCACCAGCGGCATCCAGTAGAACGGCCGGCAATCACATTACTTGAGTCTTTACAGAAAAACCTGACAACCTCTGGTCTAGACTTCATGGGTAGGGTGAATTCACTGGGTGCATATCGATGCAAGAGAGGAAAAAGGACCATTAAGAGAGTTGGAACTTTAGCAGAGTGAAAGCTGGGGAGAAAACATCATGCTGTGAATCCTTCCTTTAAACTAGGAAACAATACAACCTTTAAATTCGATTTATTCATAGCTATCGACTCAGGATGACAGAAGAACTGATGTCTTTTGAGTTGTGGCATTGGAGAAGAGCACTGAAAATCCCAGGAACTGCCAAAAGAACAAACAAGTCTTTCTTCAGGGGCTGGTCCTTGAAAAATAAAAAGACATGCTGGGAAAGCAGAAGAGTCAGAGAAAAAGCAGACGACCCTCAGTGAGTCAGATTAACACCATGTAAGAATGGGCTTGAGCATATCAGAGATCACGGAAGATGGTGCAGGATAGGGCAAGGGTCAGCTGTGCTATGCACAGGGTCATGGGGAGTTGCAGTCAACTATATGATACCTAACAAACATTTGTTCAGGTGAATTTGTAGAAGACGCAGAAAGATTTTCTTTCCCCAGAATTTTAGAACTGGGCAGCACATATAAACATAATACGGAAGCACAGCTAATGAAAAATGTTTTAATGATTAATGTTTAGACATTTAACATTGTGGGCATATCCAGAGGAGCTAAGCACACTTTGACAGCACACTATCGAATGTTATTTTTTCTGTATTGACATAAAGACAGCTGCAAACTAGTACCTAGGAAGGAAGATATACAAGTATACACGTTCTAGGGTTGGCAAGGTCAGTGTAAACAGATGTTGTGACTCTTCCCAAACAACACCCACAAAACTAGTAAGAGAACCCATTGGGGTTCCCTAGAATATGAATGTGCAAAATTAAAAGCATGGTAAACTGATATTTACATACATAAACCAACAATTAGTTTATACATTGTCGATGACTAAGATAAGTCATGTGTGGTTCAATGTATGCTTTCTCTTTTCAGTGAAGGTATTTGGAGGCTAAATTCCAACATGTTAAAATGACACACACATTAGTTCTTATCTGGCCGAACACTGCCTCAAGTGTGTAAGACACAATTTTACAATAAGCAGTAGATTATGTTTAAGCAAGCGGTTCTAAACAATCTTTATATTTTAAGCAGGAAAAAAAAACACCCCTCCTAAAATCAAGTCTCATCTCCCACCCTGCTCCCCTTTAACTTGTTTTGGTAAACTAGGCACATTTGAAAAGGAAGTTTTGTGTCAAAACAAGACAGCAGTACAGAAATCAATCCATGTTTGGACCCTGGCAACCAGCTCCTCGGTGCTCATGTCTGGATGCTGACAAATGTGTTCACGCATCACCTCTGACACATCCTCTCACACAGTGAAAAGCAAAATGGGCTTGTCTCCTGTATAAAAACACTTAGCACTTCAGAAACGGAAAACAGCCTGATCACCCATCAGCCTATTCTTCCCTAAAACCTTGAAGGCCAAAGAATATACATTTACATTTTATCAAGAGTACTTTATTCCCCCTCAACCTTTTTCTTTTATACATTATTAATAGTGGCACTAAACATAAAAAATCTATTAAAGTTAGACTGTCCCATTAGATTGGCGCCTGCTTGATTTAAAAGCCAAGATTACAAAACTGTCAGTGCCGTTTTCTGCTCTCATGTGGACGTGTCACTTGAAATTGTGTCACATGCTAGATGTTTCACAAATCTTGTTTTCTGAACAGAGCTATTTAAAAAAAAACCGGGAACATACTCTAATTTAAACTAATAAGCTTTGGGCCCTGCTTTTTAAAATTTTAAGGCATGTGTGTTTTTCTACGGTAACACTGTACAAATTTACATTTACAATCACATGCATGATCTACAGTAAAAAAAAAGGTCTGGATTACAGTGGATTACAATTTTAAATTGTGAATCACAATTCAGCACCTATCATGTTAAAACTAATAAGGCAACAGCAGTGTCGTATACTATAATACTCCCTTTTCCATAGTCTAGCGCAGGGTTGGTGAGAGCCCAGAAATGTTAAAAATCTTATGTCTACTTATAGAATCAGTATACATTTTCTAGGGGTTTGGAATTGATGAAGGAAGTCCCATGTGAATCACACTTTTGTAGGCCGACTAGTTACAGCAGCTGACGCGTGGTTTGGAGGTTCTCAGCTCTTGGTCTTCAATCCTTGCGCTGTTTCCGGGACTTCACATTGTGTTCCAGGGAAGGCAGGCTGGTCTCTCCATTCACGGCGGCCATCGAGCCGTTCTGATGATCCTTCTGGTAGCCTTTCCTTCGGCTGACCCCGTTCCTGCTGTAGGTCTGAAAAGCATGACGGGGAAGTGAGCTGTGTGACACTGGCTTGTTTTCTGCATGGGGAGTTCACTAGACTGTTTCCTTTTAGACTCTGGAGGCCTAGTGGGTAAGGAAATGTGCTGGCAACCTGAAGCTGAGGCATTAGAATCCCCCCACAGACGCTAGGAGAAGATGGGCAATCTCCTCCTGTGCAATTTACAGACTCTGAGGAGGGTCAGCTATAAGTCAGTTCTGACTCAACTGTAATGAATCTGAGAGTCTCCTTTTATCACCAAATCCTGATAGTACTTCCAGAAGTGTAGCTGTATAACCATGTTATACATTGTTCTATTCTTCAGAATATACATCAGGAGTTAGACCAAGTCAAAAATTTTTGCATATACAATTTCAGTGACACTTGTAATGCTCTTGAGTTGCATGGTCATCCCCACCCTCCTTCCAATTGTTCCTTTCCCCTTTAAAATGGGAAGTCCTAGTACAGTTGCTATTGGCAATTTGCTCTCATATCTCAAAACACAAACTGTTTTGTTACAACAGATTCATAGCTGACCTTTCAGCAGTTTTTCAGGAGGCTGAAAATTGCACGGGAGTAGAATTTCCCTTCCTCCACTTGACCCATTTGCAGCAGTGAAGGGATTGGAACGGTTAGGTGTCACCTTCATGCTAACAACTCCCTACAGACTACAACTCCATACGGACTACACCAGAGCTCCCTCTCAAAAAGGTCTTAAAAGAGCACAAGGCTCAAGGCACATTTTTGACTAGTTAAGCTAAACCTGATTGTTTTAAGATGACATAATGGGGTATTTCTGGTTAAAAGTAGAAAGACTTGAGAATCTTCCCCCACCAAATGAGATGGACTTCTTCCTCCAGTCAGATGAGAGACCTCTCCCAACCTGGTGAAATGTAGGGCACGCTTCACGACAGCAGCAGTGATGGCAGAACTGAAGAACTGATGTGAAATGGGACTCAAACCCAATAGTGGCAGGGCTGAATACTGTTTTGGTCAACTAGGGGGAAAGCAGGACTGAACTCCACCATGAGACTTGAGGCTGAGGTCCCTGCATGCTCATTTTGGGAGCTGTCTTGACTGTTCTGTTATTGCTCTGAATTATAATTGCCTGCAACTCATAGCGACCCTAAGTACAATAGCCCTAACCTCTGCCCTATGCTGTGCCAAGCTTATTGTCTGAGACACCCATTACCCCAGTCACTGAATCAATCCATTTCATCAAGGGTTTTCCTTTCCTAGGCTATCTCTCCACCCTCCCAAGTATGACATCCCTCTCCAAGGAACCTGAGGTAAATTCACTAAAGTGCTGGTCACACTACTAGCTGCAGTTTCAGGTTCTCATCCTTAACCTCCTATGTATGGTTGGCATTTTAAGGTGAAGCCATGAACTATTACTGCTTAAATGTAACATGAAGTCACCATCAGCCTAAGAATGATATTGCCGCACAGGAGCTCAGCGGAGGTGAAACCTGCCACACACAGGTATATGTGGGCAAGGTGCATGTGGGCACAGAGATGGAAGGTGGCTGAGCACTCTGGCTGCTGTGACACTACTGGGCTTACAGCTTTGGGGTCGTGAACTCCACCTTCGTTCCCCATCTCCTTTACCTGCCCCTGCACAGCAGGCTGTAACATCCTGGTACCAAGAACCACTCCAAGGGCAGCAAGAGCAAAATAGTCCAGCTACAATCTAGCAAGCGAGCTCTGGCTGCCAAGTGGCAAGAAACTGCATTGTAATCCAGAAGGCACACAGTTCGAAGCCACCAGCTGCTCCACAGGATGGGGGGGAGGGGCAATCTCCTCTCATGCAATTAACTGCCTCTGAAAACCATCCAAAGGGTCAGCTATGGGTCAGGTCCAACTCCTCGGTACACAAACACCATCTACAGAGGCAGGAATTAGCAGTGGTGCAGATAACCTGCCCTAAACAGCCTATCTGGGGAGCAAAGCCTACATTAAACCATGACCTTGGGAATGAACGGAAGCCCTGGCCTTGAGCAGTGGTGGTGGGGCTGAGAGACTGCTGTAGGCCCAAATGGAAGAAATACAGAATCCTGATCAACAGTTCTACATCCACCACATGAATCTCAGACTCCCAAACTTAGTATTGGGAACCGTGTATGTCCGAGACATATTTAAAGTCGGCTACACTACCTCTCAGCCCCTCAAAGCCCAGGGCTGCATGTCTACCTGTGACTGCACTGGTTGCAAAAAGCCCCAGCTACCCAGAAGAGATGAAGCTCTGGTGGCTTAGTGGTATGGAGTTACTCTGCCAACCCACAGGCATTGTTTGAATCCTCCATCTCCCCCCCCTGAGATTTACAGCCTCTGAAAACTCACTGGAGGGTCAGCTAGAAGTTGGTTTTGAACAGCACAGAACAACCCAGAGGAGAGTGACATTTACCTGGATGTAGAAATTTGTGAAGAGCATAATCAGAGAAAACATGTATACAATCTGGAAGTACAACCATCCGACAGGGAATGTACACGGCCAGATGATCCCGAAGCTGGTCTGGATGCTTGTCAGCACAAACTGGAGCTGGTGGAAAGAGAAGCCACATTTGAGCAGGGCAATAAGACACGGACTAGGTGCCGTGCTAGACTGGCTTTGCACTCAACACCCCTACCCCAAAGTTTTCCAATGAACATTAATTCTTCCACAGTTAAGCATAATTTCATATACATTTGACACACTACATTTATCCTAAACTCGGTATGTGGTGTACCTGTGACAGGTATATACGCCCTTCCATTCCCTCACCCTCACCTGTTAGGTGCTGTTGAGACCACTTCAACTCATACTCTAAACAATCCATTTGAACCCGGCCCTGTTCTGCACCTAACAGCATCAAAGAATTAAAAAGGATGCTTAAAATGAACTTAAGCCAACTATGCAGAACTGTCTTCCTGAAAGTAGAGTCCAGTGGGAGACCCACTCTGAGTGTGTCCTTTAAATTCATGCTCCTGCCAGAACCACAGCTGTGAGCGATAAATCAAACTCGGCATCCTTTCTCCTCAAAGTATAACAAGGTTATAGAACAATTATCCATCTTCACAGGTGGGAGGGGAAAAAACTTAATGAGAACTGTAAAGCACCCGGCAAAGAGACAAATGTTAAGTCGCTCAATAGTTTTTCTCAGATGGAAAGATCACAACTGACAGTGTGTTTAGAGAAGCTGTTAGTAAGGAAAAGGCCAGGGCTTAGTGTTTAATGTCCACAACTCTCAGTCAGCTAAGGTTGTCTCACATACTTTAGGCATATTTTCAAGAGGGGCAAGTTCATGGAAAAAAGACATTATGCTGGGAAAGATAGAGGGTCAGTGAAAGAGAAGATGACTCTCAACTGGCCCAGGAAGTGGAGGGACGGGCCGGAGTTAATCAGAAATGCTAAGAATGGGCAGTATAGGGAAAGGAGAGGATCAGCTGTTGTTGACTTGATGGCACCAAACACCTCAGTCTACTAAGTACTGGTCAACTGCCTAAATACTAAGTACTGCCACTGGGGCCTATTTGTGAAAATCTACCGAAAATTACCCAAGTGCTACCAGTCTCTCAAGAGGAAGGCGGGAGGTGCAGCCACCAATCTCAGCTACAGGTGCTCCATTGAGCAACGGAGGATTTCGGCAGTCATCTAGCATTTCCCCCAGCAAACATTCTCAAGTGCCTCAAGGACTAGAAGCACTGGACTGAGGTTATTTCACAGATCTTTCCGAAATGCTTTGAACATAAAGGTTTTCACTTGGACTTCTGGATTATAACTAGAAAATATATATTCATATATACACATGTGCTTATGTCCACAAAGAAAGAACAAGGAACTGACACAGTTAAACTAGCTGTAAGTCCACAAGTATAGTTTCCCCACCAGAAAATACGAAAACTCCTGCTGGAGTTACTGCAAAGGATCTAGAATGGGAGCAAGTATAAGGCATGACTTAGATGCTTTTATGCCCAGGGAGGCACTAAGAGCATCCTAAGGTACAGGTCTGTGTTCACCAGGAATAAGCTTTGGGAGAAAGAGGCCGAGTCACTTACCAGCTGCCCCTGAGTGATGTACTTCTTCCACCAGAGATATGGTCGCATGGAAGGGACAGACGACAGGCCATAGTATGCGTACATGAGGATGTGGATGAAGCTATTAAATGTAGCACCAAAATAGCCTGTAGGAACAGAGAGGGTTTAGGAAGGAGTGTGAAATCAGTGTTTTAGGATTAACAGGCAAAAAAAACAAAAAACCAGGATTTTTTTTAAAAAAAAACCAGAAAAGAGCTACTTTTGAAAAGGCAGACACTGCAGTAGCAAGCACAGCACAAATGTATAATTAGGATGCAACTTCTGTGCAGGCAGGCTGCCATGAGGGCGCTGAATGCGATGGGTGAATTCGTCTCACAAGAGCCACTGTCCCCATCTGGCTGGCTCTGGCATCTGCAGGCTTTGTATCTAGCCGCACCACTGCCCCTGCCCCAATTCAATGCACAAAGGTGATGGCTTTTATTTACATGCCAAAGTGCTTCAATGACTTTGGCCAGTCCATGGACAACATGTCTCCATAAATCTGCTGAGGTTTAGAGACTTGAGACCTTTGAGGTCATCTAATGACTCCCTAGGACAGCAGCGCTGGCGCCAGAGTAGAAGTCAGTCCCCTAGGGCTCAGAGAGTCGTTTAATGTCATGATTTTAGTTTCTAATAGCATTGCTAGTTCTTTTCTTAGACATTTTGTCCTCTTGGTCTCACAGTAAGAACCATAAAAAGGCATTGGCTTGTCCACATCTAGTGCATAAGTCTGGGGTCAGGGGAAGAATGTATGTCTATTCTTAGCTATGACAGCCACACGTCCATTGTGCAAATCAGAACATTCTCTGGTTCAGACGTAGGTAAAAATTGATTGTCCTAAAGGATTTCTGAGGAGTTGATGCAGTATATTAACGTAAGCAGACGCTGTACTAGAAAGGTGTGTTAATTCACAATCATGAGGTAGGGTGGTGAGGAAAAGCAAACAAGAAATGAGCTGGAGGCATACTTCTACCACCCCTTCTCTCTTGGTTTTCTCAGGTACCATGTCCAGAAGGTCCCGTTCTGGTTTTACAATTCTATGACTGAATTTTGGTGGACCAAGGGTAATGCAAGTCTTGTAGGAGGGCAGGGGAAAGCTTAATTAAGACTCTAAATCTTAGTCTAATCCTTCAGTGTCAGGATGTCAGGACGTTTAACTGGGACATTTATTAAAACGCCAAGCTGAGCCTGAAGGTGACAACTTAATCTTGGAAAATTCTAACGGATTTCAGACTGCAAAATGTTCCAAAAGCTAGGCGTGCCCTTCTTAGATCCTAGTGCTTGTCACAAAAGGCAGCCTAACAAATGTGCATCATGGGATGTGAGGGTTGTTCTATGTGGGTATATACGGAGATTTCTCCTGAAGGCATTAGCTAAAGCTGACTATCACAATGAGCTTCGTTCCCCAGCACTCAGTGGGATTCCATCTTCCTGCCCTGCCCCTGCCAGCCAAACACATTCAGAATTTCAGAGGAAAGGAACAGATGCCCACTGGGCAGACGACACTGTCCTTTTTTTCTAACATGTCCCCAAGCTGGGAATCTGTTATCTTCCTCATTTTGCCAAATCAGACCTTATTAACCTAGGGGGAAAAGTGCTATCAGCTTACTGACAGCACAGGCTATCACAGGAGGCTGAGACACAAGCTTAAGTGATGGACCTACAGAAGCGATGGACCTAACAGCAGCTTTCCTAAAAGCCTTCATTCCAGTTTAGCCCCTCTGCTCATTTCCATCCCCAAACCACCCTCCTTCCCTGCCCCCATAAAGCTTACAGTGGCCACAGGGCACCCAGTTCATCACGAACCACCAGATGTTCAGCATGGTGGCGTGGTGGTACACGTGCAGCACTGTGATCTGGTGGTTGTTCTTGCGTAAGATGAAGAAGAAGGTGTCCATGAATTCGATGAGCTTGGAAAAGTAATACCACCAGAGGACATTGACGATCTAGGAGCAAGAAGTTAAAAGGCTTACTTATTCTCAGTGCTTCTCTGAACTGCTACCTCTGATGTGTTTTACTAATATCCTAGATGCCAAAGCTGATTCAGAGAATGGAGGGAAGACTGAGCACCCCAAGGGCTGCTGATGTCTTTCAGCTAGCTGCCAAGAGCTGTGGTTACTCTAGAAGCAGATTTAGAACTACCTTCTATGGGAAACCTGAAGTGACAACCAGAGAAGTTTCAAAAGGGCCACTGACGTCCTCCAAGATGGAAACAAAAACAGAGGCTTAAGTGCAGCCCTTAGCCTGCCTATTCGCTCTGGCAGCAGTTTGGGGAATAACTGGTTCACACAAACCAACTGGAAGACACTTCTGATTTCAGAGACTGGCATGGAGCAGGTGACGCAACATAAAGCATGAAAAAGAAAAGGAATGAGAGCTGTCAGAGGCAGGTCCTCGGCAAATTAATGTCAGAAGGCAGCCTGTGATTGAGCAGCTACTGCCAGCCTTTTATTTAAAAAAAGAACATTAAAAAAACCAAAATTCATACTTAACACATTGCTGCAAATGACGGCTATAAAATGTCTTTCTAAGCATGGTCTCAATTTAAAAGTATGCGGCAACGTGTTAAAGTGGATTCCATAATCACTAGCGTTGACTCAGAAAAGATTTAACCTTTTAGGACGTTATAAATCTGATCATACTTATAGCAAGCCATCCCCCCAGAAACTATGAACAACAGTTACTTTTGCAAAGAGAGAAGCTTTGCTTTTCATGTCATTTCCATACCCTGAGTATACATTGCTTTTATTATCACCATTTTAATGGCCAGTGAGGTTACGGACTAGGCGCCATTTCCTTATTTAAAATATAGAAAAGTAATAAAAAAAACCCAACAAACCAAAACCAAACTTGTACAATGAGATTTTTAAAAGCACAATACCTTCATGTCTGATTCTCCCGCGGTACGTGTTCCCTGGCAGAAGAAGTTGTAGTTGCTTTCCCATACTCCTGTCACTAACTAAAAGAGAAGAAAAGGTCCTTCAACAACAATATCAGAACCATGCAAAGAGTTATAAATGCACATCAATTCAGAATCTAAGAAAATTTACACAGGGTTGTGCTGAAGGAAGATTGTTGAGAAAATACATTTATAGGGGCATGTGAAAAAAGGGAATCTTTTAAAGGATTTCTATTTCAATTTTACAAGGGATAAACAGTTCTGTCTAGTTGGAACCAGCCCACAAAAGATCTTACAATGTGCAGTGATTCAAGTAGAGAATGCCCATATTTCAGAGAAGCTGGTGGATTTGAATCACATGCCTTTAGGTTGGCAGAAGAACTCATTACCTCTAAGCCCCCAGAGCTCCTAGGCAATTTTCTTTGGAATTATCCTTATACCCTTGGTTCTAGTATAATGTGCCTTGCCAGTTTTTGGGCCCTGGCCAACCAGAAACTAAGTTCCCTCTCACTTGAATCCTATTCACGGGACTAAAATCCTTCCTTAGCAAACATACTAAAGACAGAAATAAGAGTAGACTGAGTCTAACATGTATCAACTAAGGATCAAGGAGTCAAAGTCTGTCCTCCCTAGAACGCCACAAAATGGGCCCATGTCAGAGGAAAATGGTGTCCCTGATTAATGGACCTCAACAGCTTTCAAAGAAAAGGACTTTTTTATAATTATTAATTGTGATTTAATGAAAGTTAAAGAAAATTGGATTTTTCATTGTTGTACATTTCCCTCCCTATCCCCACCCAGTTCCCTTAATATATATTCATTCACTGTTGCATAATTTCCTCTCCCCCAAACCAGTCCACTTTGCTATGCACCTCTTATTCTGGACTATTGTCATACAAATGCCTAATCATATATTCCTTTTAAATAGTTCTTGCCTTCATCTGTTCCAATGCAGTGTTCACTATTTCCCTCTGTTTTCTTAGCTTTCCCTTAACCCCCATGTCAGTCCTGCTTTATATAGTGCTGTTATACAGTTGGTTTTAAAAATTAGGTCTACTGAAGAAGTTTAACATACTTTAGCATGTTGGGAGTTTAACCTAGTCTAGCATGTCAGGTATTATTGAGTCATAGCGGATCTTCCAGTGGGTTCTCAGAGGCAGTAAATCACCCAGGGGGAGAAAGTCCATTTTTTCTTATAGTGAGCTGGTAGATTCGAACTGAGTTCTTCTGGGTTGGCAGCACAGCCCCTTACCACTAGGCCATCAGAGCTCTTCACATATAAGAAATACTACTACAAAATCACCCACTGTCTCCTTTCATGTAACAGGCACACAGAAAAGAGCTACAATTAAAAGCCTTGCTAGAAGATTTCCTCTCTCCTTATGAGCCAAATTAAATAACCAATGGTGGTTTCATGCCTCTTTTCATTTAAACATTTAGGGTTTTATCACAACTGGATTTGGATGTCACAGTTCATGAAGTGAATCATTTCTAAGGATGAGGCAGGCAGGCTTTCCCCATCTAACACCATTTTACTAAGGAGGTTTATGACCTTTTTATAAAATAAGCATATTCATGGTGTGTTCTAGAATGCAACCAAGTTATCTCAGGAAACAAGGCCATTTGAAACATTTAAGGCCTTTTAGTCCATAAGTGGTGGAATGGTTAACAATATGCTCACCAGCTAACAAAAAAAATGGAGGTTTCTATCTACCAACAAGTAGTGCAGAAAAAGGCTTGGTAATCTACCCCTGAAAAATTAGTCCTTAAATACAAAACAGCATTCTACTTTGACATACACTGACTTAATGGCAACTGGTGGTGTCATAAAGGAGCATAGTCCTTCATAAGTTTCTCTATTTCAACATCAAGACTGTAGGGCAACAAGACAACCTTCAAACTAAAAGAATTTTTAAAGAGAGCTGGCTGCTCTTAATGACAAGAGACTGACGAGATAAGTGGTTATTACTCTCATCAAGTGCATTAAAGGTCTCAACTCTTTGTCACAGATCTGGACAAGCCAAAGTGATCAGGAAGTGGTATGAGTAATCCAAGGTCACACAAACCTCCTGAGCGTGTCACTGGGAACTGGGGCACAGGAATCCTGACCCTCAGTCCCAATGCAATTCTCCACGTTCTTTTGACTGGCACTGTTGCTTTCTGAGTCTTTAGTAAGAACATGATGGGGCTATCTTACCCATTGAAGGATTTTATGGGAAAGTGATTTAAAATCAACCCCCAGTGACTCCAATTTCCTCTAAGGGTTGGCTGGCCAGTCTTGGCAGCATCATAATGGAGCAGTCACGTTAAAACACACGGTCTTGAATTTCAAATCATGCCCTGAGCATAAGGAGGACCAGTAATATAAGTTCACAGCTGTGACCTCCAAGAGGTTTCTTCTTTCCCTTCAAGACAGAACCCCCCTGGGCCACAGCTCAGAGCAGGACTCTGGTGTAGTCAATCATAAGGACAGGTTTTGTGCACTTGAGATGTTTTTAAAACAAAGCACAAAGAAACAGCTTATCCTCAGCCTAACCTGGAGCAGGTATGTCTGGTACTTTCCCTGAACCCTAGGGCCCTGCCCTCTTAGCTTGGCAGTCCTCTCATTGTTAATGCTTCCTGGGAGGTGGCCGTGTGCAGGTTGCTTCCACATACTAAGTAAGAAATGCTAATTTTGTATCTCATGGGGGTGGTCACAGCTGGGGAAGAGGAAAAATTGAAGCTGTGGCTTGACATTTGAGGCAGTGTTGCATAATGGTGAAGAGTACAGACTGAAATCCCAGCTCTACCCTGAAACTTCCTTCTCTGTAGAAAATTAAATGTTCAATTTGTAGGAATGGAAGGAGCATTCAATGAGTTAGACTGGTACCTAGTGCAAGGTAGACACTGGGTTTGCTCCAAGTCAATATTTCTGATACTAAATGTGTCAAGGCCCATGATTAGGCCTTGTAGAGATGTTGCAGATGTCTAATGATATCTAGGGGCTGAGCATAAGTTTACTGTCTACCTACTTGCTTTGGAGAAGTGGTCTGGTTTAGCTGAGAATTTATACGGTGTTATGCTCCTTGTTATGCTATCAAAGCCAAGGTACCAAAGGCTTCCTCCAGTGAAGGGTTAGGAGGCTGACTTGGCCTCAGCCCAATCCCAAGCTTTCACCTCTACTGAAGGGTGTCCTTTCCTTCTGCTGTAAAGCTTTCTCAGAGTAGTGTCGGATAAAGCAATGTATATCCAAGTAACTGAGTGGGGTGTTTCTGCTTCCAAAGAGAAGTTGCCCGCCTTTTAAAAACCCTGAGCAAGACATTATTTTAAGAAATAACCGGACTTCTCTTATGAGCATTCATTTCAGATACTTCAACCTTCTATTTCTGCTAAAAGTGGACTAGCAATTATCTTTTTCCAAGTATCTTGGGTAAATAAAACCCATTTTTAAAGTAAAACTCAATTATCAATGGCCATGTCGTTTAAGTGTTTTTCCAAATCCTATTTTCCCACAACAGCATATCTATTTTAGGAACTGTGTGAAAGGAAAAAACAAGATAATTTAGAATATACGTTTCCAAAGCAACTGCATTTGTGGTTCTATCAGGAGACCTTCAAAGCCAGCGGATGAGAGGGAGCCCTAACAGCCTCAATGTTACCGAGAGATTAGAAAGGACAAGCAAGATAACCATTCCATCAAATGCTCCAATTCTTTCATCTTCCCAATAAAGCATTAGAAATCTTCGAGATTCAAAGAAAAAAATTGACTTCGGGTTGTGCCAACAGGGCAAAGGAAACAAGACTCTCCACTCCTTCACTGTAAGCACATTTAGAGATCTGCTATAGAAAGCACACCAAAAAAATAAAAGAATCACCAAGCCACTGATGCTGTAACAGCAAGTAAAGTTCACCCCGCCTCAAATACAGTCTTCCGAAAAGACTGAGTTAGCTTACGTTTAAGTCCTTCCAAAATCTTTATTTGCGGGGGCAAGTTTACCTGAAACGAACCCAATTCCAGTTTGGCGTGCACCCACAGAGCACCTGACAGTTCTGTTTGCTCGCTCAAAGAGAAAGACATTGAGCACAGACTTCTTAATCCTGAAAGAATGACCTCATAAACCATGTAACAAAATGTTAAAATCTGGAGATCACTGTTCTATAGCTGCATCATAAAGGGGCAAAATGCCAATGCTTTCATGTAGTAAAAAAAAAAAATAACGGGCAGTATTAATGAAAATGAAAACTGACATTTCAGAAATTAAAATGCACCTATACACTTCACACACACACATCCCAATCCGAGCTCTGGTAGCTTAATGGTAAGGAGATACATTGCCAACCCAAAGGCATGCAGAGTGAATTTAATAGCTACTCTGCAGGAGAAAGATGGGCGATCTCAGCTTCAGAGGATTTAATGCCTCTGAAAACCTTTGGAGAGTCAATGAGTTGGTTCCCACTATACATACATCTCCACACAAACACTAATCAGCAAACCAAAAAAGCACCCAATCATGAGTTAAAACAGCATAGTAGACAAAACTGAAGGCTGTATGAGTGAATAGTAAACAGAGGTAAAGATGTAGAAAACACAAAACAGATTTAGGAATAAAAGACCAAGAATGTCCAAAATGAATCTAACCGGAGGCCCAGGAAAATGAGGAGATGGACAGGGGAGGGCAGAAATTAATGATCTCGTAACTGCTGAAACATGCAAGTCATGGTTGAGATAAAAATAAATTTCTAAACAAGACATCTAGGCTGCCTTAGTTTTGAACAAGATTTTTAAACTATTTCGAAGAAAAAATATTGTAAAAAAAAAAGACAGTAGAATTCCCAACAACTGAGACTAGAAGACAATGCAATAAATCTTCAAAGTCCTGAAGAAAAGAACTGTTAACAAAGCAGTCTATGCCCTGCCATCAAATTACTGAAGTGCAAAGACACTCAGAGCTTAGCCCTCACAGAACTCGTTTTGAAGACACTTGAGCTCATAGATCAATAATGAAAACCAGGAAACTGACAAATAATCATGAGCTGTGCAAAATGGTGAAATAACACTTGCTAACATAAAGAGAGACTGGCATTAGCCTTCTAAAGCCTTTGCCTTGTTTGAGAAAACTAATACTAGTTCACTTTAGGTCTTACCAAGTTACCCCCACTGCCCACGTTACTATATCAATCCATTTCATCTGGGGTCTTCCTCTCCTGTGCTGACCCTTCCACAATTCCTTCTCCAAGGAGTGGTCTCTCCCAAAGTATTTGAGACGGAGCCTCAAAATCCTAGCCTCCAAGGAAAGACATGGGTTCTCCCTCTCCAAGACAGATCTATGTTTTCTTGGCAGTCCATGGTGTGTTCAAGACATGCACCATCTTTAGGTCAGCAATGCAACTCATTATGGACTTCCCCACCTATGCACTATAAATGTGAAGGATATTGTCAAATTATGGGCTGAGATCTGGGCAGAAAGAATTTCTAAGTGGAAGAATGGAAGGATCCTCTTACTGGTGAGGTTATGTAGAGCTAGGCATACAGGAAAGCTCCAAGTTCCTGCCTCTGAACCCTTCCTCCTGAAGCCTCAGTAGTCCTTTCAATACAGCATTTCCGGGATGTTCAAAGCCACATCTAAGGCCCACTACTGACCCTACTTCACCTTCAGCTACTGATGAATCCAGGCTCCCTTTCAGACCATGACAAACCTAGTAATTAGATCCTCTCTGTTCTGGGTGTGAAGAGGTCAGAGGCACAGTGTGAGCACAGCAGACACATCATGACGTCCCACACCACAACAGAGCAGCTGCTTGACTGAGATGCGTCCTACCTTGTTTCACTTGTTAAGGAGTGCTTTGCTTATTCGGGACCTCTTTCCATTCCAAATGAAACTAGAGATGGCCTTTTCCATTTCGTTTAATAATGGGATTGGTATTTGTATTGGGATTGCATTAAACATGTAAATTACCTTTGGTAGTATTATAATTTTCACAATATTGAGTCTTCCTATCCATAAGTTTACCTATTGCTTTGAACTGCCCCCAAAGGACTGCCTTCTCAGAGCTTATGATTTGTATCTTCTTTCATTTGTCTTGAGGAATTCTCTCATTTCATTTTTTATTTCTTCTATAACCCAGTAGTGTTCTTGGCAGTAGTGGTGTGTGCCACTGAGTCAGAACCCACCCACAGCTGACCTTCCTGCGTTCAGAGTCAGCTAATTCAGTACTTAGACAATGCTCAGTTTGCTATTGTTCTCACTAAGAGGACAATGGATATGTTTACAGTATATTTAGAATCCTCAAAAGCTGCTCAAAAGTATTTGGCTATAATTTTTATGATGTAATTTTTATGTAATTTCCTCCCCCTCCCTTTACTGCCAAACTATTTTAAGAAGGTTTTGGAAAGGGTCATCATGTTTGGAAGGGTGGAGGGACAGCAAAGGAGTCGAAGACCCAGGATGAGATGGATTGGCTCAGTGACTAGAGCTATGGGGTTAGGTCTGTCAGAGACTATTGGCTCAGGATAGGGCAGGGTTCAGAGCTAATGTATGTAGGGGTAGCTATGAGTTGAGTCACAGGCTACTTGATGGCATAAAACTAGCTCTATCTATAGGGCTTGAGAAGCATAAGGCAAATGCTTAATTCTGTATCATTGTAAATAGTCTCCCTCTAGAATATCGTCATGAGTAATGACAGCTCTAAGAAATCCCTAAGGAAATGATTCTATTATCAGTTATGAGAAAGTATCTGGGGACAGGAAAGCCATGGGACCACTTGCTGTGGTTTAGTCCCTTGAACACTCAAAGAGCTCTGCAGAGTGGGCCCAGGAGTTATTCCTGTGCACTTTTCCTGCCTCCAGCCCTGCAAAATCCAGTTCTGGGGTTAATTTCTGGCCTTGGATCCAGAACATTTCAAAAAGAGGGGGTAGGTGGAGAGCTTTGAATACTTCATAAAATGACAAGTATCAAACAGCAATGATAGTACTTCAGTAGCTCCTACCATCCTAGTCACACCATCTATGACCTTGTCTTTTGATAGACACCTGAGCAAACACTACAAAGACCTACTCCTCACAGGTGTGCTACATCTTCCACGATCAAATACAGCATTTTCAGTCAGTTTATAGACACACACAACACATGCAGACAGAGACATCATCACAGCCATAAGCTGATGGGGAATTTTTTCCTCCAAACACTAATTTTAAGCTTGATTGATTTCTCACCTCCCATTGTCTCTCATATCCTCTTATCACTCTTTGGAAAAATTCAAGTCACATCGAGATAGGCTAAAAGCCTAAAAAGGCAGTGGTTGAAAATGCTTGCTTTTTGTATGACTAAATTCTTCATACTAGAGATTAAGCAACGGGTTAATTGTAAAGGGGGAGACTTTCCTCTGAAAATACATACCAATTTGCTTACCAATGGGGGGTGGCTTTCTTAACGGCTATGTTATTTTATTACGTGTTGCAAAACAGCACAGAATTGTTGCTTCACACTTGCCTTTATGCTATGTGTGCCTTGGAGATCAAATTTGATTTTCAACATTCCAGTCATATGAAAGGAACTGGGCCTGAACTTACATAAACCATTTAAAACACAAAAGCAGGTCTCACAATTGAACTATTCTAAACTTTATATAAAATACCTAGTCAAATTGAGATATTTACAGTTCCCAGAGCAAGACAGAGAGGCAAGCTTACCACAAAGCATGCCAAATGCAAGTACCATCCACTTCCTCCTCCACCCAACCCCTACTTCAAACAAGAATCAAGCACTTATCAGGGCTTAATAAAATGCTCACAGGTTTGCTTTTCACCGTTCCTTCATTTTTCTACCCTTTATTTTCTGAGTAGAAAACTGTTTGAAAAACATCTCATTGAGACTACAACAGGAAACACAAATAGCACAAGAATCAACAGTAAAGGCTTCCTTTTATATACATATGGTGTATTCGCACCAACAACTTTGGTATTTTGGAGAATTTTAAAACACTCAAAATATATTCGTGCATTAGCACCTTGAGATCTCTCCTGACCTAAGCCCTTCATTTATGAACATAATTCAGCACAGAGACGCGGGCCTTTTTTAAAGAAAGCCCACAATAATGTCCTACCTCCAAGAACATATAGAGCGACAGCAACGTGAGTGCAGTGTTATACACCACTAAAATTTTCGGGAAGGAGAATGGCGGCCTGTTCTTCATGTACTTGGGTCCCAGCCATACTACTAATAAGTATATGATAGTGCTGATGAGGGTTGGTAAGTAATTGTCCAGAAGAAACCATCCTACTACTCTGGTATCTGAAAAACAAAATATAAAAAAGTTTAAAAATCCATGATAAAACAAGGCAGGTAAACAAGAACTTCAACTTTTCAACATTTAAAACATTTCTTTAACCATGTTTTTTTTTAGAGTCAGTCTAATTTTATGCCTCCTAAACGCAACTGGGCAAGTAGAAGCGGAAGCACGGATTTAACACCTACCCTGCAAGTGTGAACTTCCTTAGGACAGTTCTGCATAGCCATGTGCACTGGCCTGGGCTTTTGCTAAGTCAAAGCATAAAAAAAATTCCCTTTGAAAGAATTTTAAAAAGCAGAAATTTCTGCGAACTGGTTGCATCAATCAGAGCTGCTGAATTATGCATGGGGTGATAGAACCTGAGAAGTGCAGTCTTTGAAATCTCAACTTCTCCATCTCAGTCAAATGTCAGCAAGTCTGCCCAGAAGTATGCAGGCTCAGAGAATACATGCCATGCACCTAGATTGCTGACACCATAACTGGGCACAAAGGAAGCATCTGCTGTAAGTTCATGGCTAGCAGTTAAGGGAACAATGATTTTTTTAAGGAAATTAAATCAATGATCAGTCTCTGAAATAAATGGCCCGTGTTAAACTGGCAGCCTGACAATGGCGAGTCCTTGTCCCTCCTGCTGCCCACGGGCTCTACATGGCTGGGGGCAGTAAGTTCCCTCAGGTGTTGTCCTGCCCCTGTGAGGGCCAGCCTCATCTTCTGGCTGACTCCCACGTAGCTGCATCTGCCGTGCACTCCCATCTATCCTTCCTGTCAGACTCAATTCACTCCCAATGAGTTGGGACCAATCCATAACTGAACCTCCAGCAGGCTTTCAGAGGCTGTAAATGCACAGGAAAAGAATACCCATCATGTTCTCATGGAACTGGTGGATTCAAACTGACCACATTTGGGTGGACAGCCGAACTCCTATTATCCACTACGCCACCAGCCGAGAAGCACATAAATAAGGAGGAACAGCTAGTTGGATTACCTAGCTAGTTTTGAGTATCTGGCTACGTTGTTGTCATAGATAACTCATAGTGACCCTATGAATGAAAGACCTGAGCGCTGTTCATACAGTTTACAGAGGCAAAAAATTTTGGAAGTGGATGCCACACCTGCTTCCAAGCTTGTTTTAATCGGGAAGCTCCAAACACTTTCCACTTATGGGTAACCATTATTGCACTTGGCACATCACAGCAACCACGAGTTACCTCTGTACAGTAATGCACAGATCAGTGCTATACCACCTAGATAAATGTTTGACAAAAACAAACCGGCGAGCTCTGGTGGCCTAGTGGCAAGAAGCTGCAACTGCAAGCTCAGAGGTGCACAGTTCAAATCCAGATGCTCTGCAGAAGGAGGAACAATCTTCTCCTGTACCGGTCAGATCTGATTTGACGGTACACACAAAAGTGAAATTAAAAAAATTAAAAACCAAAAACAATTTGTTAAAATTTTAAATCAGGCCTGCTAAGAGAGATGAAGTGTTTGAAAAGTAATGTGTGAAAACGGGGAGCTTTCCTGTTTGTCAGTTGGCCTTCATAGATGAAATGATGTAGTCAACTCCTGACAACTCAAAGCAACCCTCTGAACAAAGGGTCAAAAGTCTGCCCTCTCCTGCACCACTGTCACAAGCTCTGCCGTGCTGAGTTCACTGCTGCAGTCACTGCGTCAATTCATCTTGAAACTGACAATAAGAAAGCAACATGGAGCAGATATGCTTTTCTAAAATATATCAATATATTGAGCTATGTAAAAAATGGAATTCAGGAGTATATCTTTACCTGCTGACGTGACACGAAGTGAAAGGGCCTTTAAAAAGTCCTTTTTGAGGCAATGTAAAAAGCAAAGTGTTTTTTTCCCCAACTCCTATGGCCCCTTGTGCATTTTGGAACTCATTTCAGCTACAGCTTCACAAGAGCTGATGAAGACATACCATCACTGATAAAGGTGAAGCCGGCAATATTTGCAGGCTCTGAGCTTCACAGCATAATTTGATCTCCAGATAAAGTCAGAGAGAAGGTCACACACAGCAGCTGCATCTCTGCCTCAATAGCCAGGGGAGCAGATACTGTACAGTCTCAATGGCTATCAGTTCTCCAGGCTCTTGGTATTTAGGAAAGTTCTCTTTTATCACAGAAAATGCTAGCATTTTCTAAAATTGCTTCATGCAATATTTATAAGTAGCTATAATAAGAGGTGGGGTAGGGGAAAGACAAGTAAAACCAAAAACCATCTCTTACCTCGGGGGCCTAGCCATGCCTTGAAATAGGTACTTTTTGATGCATCAAAATGCTCCATTTTAAAATCTATTAAGAAAAAAAAAGACTGATTAGTCTCTACTCATTTTTTTCATAACAGAGTAAGAAAATAGTTTTTTCATTCAAAGAGCGTATTACGGACAAAGCAAGTTTCTTAAAAACCACAGGCTTTTAGATAGGTCACCTATTTGCTCTCCAAAACAAAGACAAAATTAAAAATAAAAATTAAAACCAAATGCAAAGCCATAATCTTGTGAATTTAGTTTATAATGAAATTAAAGGGGTTTTCTCCTTCTCAAGTCCATAAAAATTCCTCTGAAGTTGAAATCTTAGTTGGGAGAGGAGCTGTGCTGAGAGGTGGCAGATGGGAGAAGAGTCTGTCTGGGTAAGAAAGACCTGAGATAAGATAACAAAGACAGAAAACGCCAGATTAGTGACCAGAAGGAATGCTCAAAATCACAGGCAATAAGAGAGATAAAAACCAAAGCCCCAATTAGATACCCAATCAAGAATAGACTTTAAAAAGTCATATGGGAGTCATTTCACTTTTTTAAATAAGAGGCTTTCAGAAAGAGGGCTGTAACTAGTTTTGGTTTTTATGTAGGGAGGATGTGGATACTCTGGTCACAAGAGCAGAGGAAATGATAAAAATTACAGAAAATAGAGTCAAGGGTTAGGTAGGGTTTCAGGGAGAACATTAAATGACTTGGGGGTGGTGATGAGGCCTAGAATTGTTGTAAAGTCCCTATTATTACAAGAATCACGGTGTCTAGGACACAGCCCAATCTGAGAATCTGGGCTAACACCCCAGAGCAACAGAACAGCAGCTTGATAAAACATAAGGTAAAATTTCAGTCCAAGAGAACTGAACAAGGCAGCAGGTGACCAAGAGAGCTTGTGGAGTTTTCCATTTGGTAATGTGGAGGAATTCTGTTAAAAGCCATCTGTCCCAAATGACAGGAGTCCACAGACATCTTGAATAGAAGCTCCTTGGAAGAGAGAAGGCACAGGAATGCACTTCAGTCTCCATACAATGAAGTCCTCCTGGCAAAAGCGCATGCAATAGGCAATTCTACATATACTGACTCTGTGTGCTCAGACTGCACTGCTTCTCAACATGGGAATTCGAGTTGAACTTTCCACAATGAGATTTAGGAACAAATGAAGTAACTAGCAAAACTAGCAAAGTCTCTTAAAAATAGATGGGGAAACTGGGTCTCAAAGGGGTTCATTCTGTTCAACCCTTTGTTGAGGGTCAAATAATTCTTCTGACTTAGAATCCACATTTCAACAGGCTCTCCAACTGCTTCATATTATCTGGGGTTGAAAGGCAAATATTCTCAGCAGGGGGATGACCTGAATGAACCTTTCCATGTCCAGATGGAAAATAGCAATTTTCAAAGAGCTGCTCAATGTTCTGAAGATGTCCAAGTTAAAAAAGGGACACCGGACCCTTGGAGCAGGGGCCCCCAATGAGTAGAGTCCTGGTTCATGAATCACAGGCCTGGATGCTTACATGGCAGGTGTTATCCCAAACTCTCCCCCTCCCAGGCCCACAGCTGGACACAAGGTAATTTCAGAGAGAGTTTATTTTTAAACAGGTTACTCAGAGGCATTGTCACTAAACGCTTCCGTTCATTATTTAGCACAAGTCATGCTTTTGTCTAGTCATACATCTGTTGTGGTGGTGTCACATGGTTCTGGAGTCAGAACCAACTTACAGCTGACACTGCAGCATGTTTTCAGAGGCTATAAATCATATGGGGAGGAGCTGTCCATCTTTCTCCCAAGGGGTAACTGATATATCTGCACCACCAGAAAGGCTCCACCTTTAGATCCACAGTACAACTCCTTACCCACTCCACCGTAGCTCCCAAGCCATATTCCTAGCGCCCCTCAGTCCTATATACTAACCTTTGGAATCCCAGAACACATGATTGTGCCATGTGAAACACTGCATAGTTCAAAATCAGGAAAGGAGTGTGTCAAGAATGTATCCTGTCTCCATAACTTTTCCCTCTATGTGAAATAGATCATTCGAGAGGCTGGACTTTATGAAGAGGAATGTGGTGTTAGGATTGGAGGAAGACTCAAACTAAGCTGGCCCTTAGCAAGAATTTTTTTATTTAAGTTCTATCTCATACTTGGGGCACATGGACACGAAGGGCCAGTCCTTGGAGAAGGACATCATGCTTGGAAGGGTGAAGGGATAGCACATAAGATGACCCTGGACAAGATAGACATAGTGAGTGAGACAACGGGGGCAGGTGTGTCAGAGACCTTGAGACTAGCTCAGGACGGGTGAGGATTTCAGAACTAGTGTACACAGGGTTACTCTTGAGTCAAAAGCAATTTGATGGCCCATAGCAAAAACTACAAAGCAGACATCATTCTAGGCACAGGAGGATAGAGAATTAAATCTAGGCTTGGGGAGAAAGACAAGAAACGCCAAGACCTTAACTGTTCACTCTGCCCCAGCTCTTCGGTTCCTTCCCTCTCCTGGCTGCTGCAGCTTGCTGCCAGCAACGTGCCCTTTTCCTTTTCATCTTCCTTGCTGAGTCTCATCTGCTGTGCCACATGAACAGTACAAAAGGTCTCAGCAAATGAATTCTTCATTGCCATGCTGGGCCGGCCCACCCTGCTGGCTAAATTGGACACTTGCTGAGTGGCTTATGGGCTGAGCTGTTTTCTTTTTGGACTTTTCTAAAGGAACGGGAGAGGCACGGGGCCCTGCAAAAACCCTTGACACTTTGCCTAGTGGTAAGGAATTAGGGGAAGGGGAATTTGCATGCTCCATTTTACACAGGTGCCCAAGCACACTGCTGGGTCTGCAGTCATTTACACTGCATGTGGGTGCCAGTGAGTGACATTACATCTAATGGCGCCAGTGGCTGTAGAGGCAGTGTGGACAAGCTGGGCCAAATGTGAACACAACTGCTCCGTCCAAGTGTACTAGTACAGACCAAGTCCAGGTCTTTTTAAGAGTCAAACTGTGTTCAGCTTGCATGGGAACATTCAATGTGCCTGCCAATAGCACCAGATTAAATGGTGCTTTGCTTTGGTAGTCACAACATTGCTTCATGAGTTTAGAAAAAAAATCCCCCTCCCAAGTTGGAAAAACTAAGCTTCTGGATGAAAGGAGGAAAAGAACCACATCTTCGTTCAAAAATGTTGACCTCATGTTCTTGTTCAAAAACACTGAGATAATGACCATAAAAGGAAAGAACATCCAAGTACTCACAGGTTTGCAAACTGACAAGGGAATGGAGAACTCTGGATGAAAGCTCATCTTAAGAAAATCACACAGCAAATCCACCACACAATCTGCCTGGACTGTCATTCTGACTCTGCATGAATCTGTGCTTATCCTCTGCACCTCTAACCGCTAATCCCACAGAGAATGCACACACTTTCCAACCTCCATTCTAAGGGAGTAACACATTTTTAATATCCTGAGATAGTCATTTTTTTTCCTCCCCACAACACGCACTCAGTACATAAAGCAGCAAGCTTTGTTTGGGGTCATGGATAACCTAAAGCAGTGCAAAATCACCCCAGTGGGTGGTCTGTCCTTAATGAATAGCCTACGGTCCTTCCCTCCTACTCTCCCCACTTTCCTCTCTGAAGCCTCGGCTGGCTGCAGCTCCTTCCTGCAGAGAACCCCCTGACCTCATGTGTGCTTCCTGCTTCACTGTCTTGACAACCAATGGACCTAAAGAAACGGCAACTTTTAGGAACCCTTGAGTGCTCTCAAGTTATTGCACTCAAGTAAGTAAAGGATGGGGAGCTCTGGTGGCCTAGTGGCAAGAAACTGAACTGCAATCCCAGAGGAACACGGTTCGAATCCACCAGACGCTCTGCCAGAGAAGGAGGCGCAATATCCTCCTGTACCAGTCAGATCTGATTTGACGGTACACGTACACAAAATTTAAAAAAAAAAAAGTAAAGGATTAGAAATTCAGGTTCACCCAGAGGCACCTTGAGAAGCAAGCCTGGCAGTCTGAAAAGTCTGCCATCAAACCTCCTCAGGCACAGTTCCACGCCAATACACATCAGTGGGCGGGGCGGGGGGGGCGGGGGGAAGGAATCAGGACTGACTTGTTGATAGCAACTGGTTAACATGACTTGGATACCTAATGTTTTGGTGTTATTATGGAAACCTATATATACTCAGTCAGGCACAAACCCTTCGAGGACAGTTTGATCTGTTTGTGTACAAAGCATTACATACTGATGAAAGGACACAAAGGAGCCCACGATAGGGGTTTTCTAAAACACAGACTAAACCCTATTTATAGAAGGTCATTTCCTCAGGTCTGGGACTCAAACAGATCTGTAGTCCTGACTGTTAAAAGACCAGTACAGTCATTTTACAGAGCCTGGGTGGTGTAGGGGTTAAGTGCTAGGCTTCTAACTAAGAAGCCAGCAGTTTAAACTTGTCACCAACTGTTCCACAGAAGGACTCAGCAGTCAGCTTCCGCAAAGATCAGAGCTGGAAAACCTATGTGGCGGGTCCTCTGTCCTGTTGGGTTGCTATGACTGAGAACTGACTCAATGGCAAGGGCTCTGTGGCTTTCAAGTAATTTTACAAAGTATAAAACAATCACTCTTTCACATTAAAAGTCACTTCCCCCACTCTGAGCAGCAGTTCTTCCCCTAGCCTTTTCACAAAAGATCCTTCCCATTTCCTTCACCCCATCCACCCACCAAAGTGTGCAACCCAATGATTAACACCCTCTCCCCTCATCTGCACCACCTCTATTTCAAACACCCCCCCCCCATCCTCATACTCAGTCTACAATAATGGTTTTATCAAGTATTTGTCCTTGTGGGACTGATGATACAAAAAATATTATCTCAGAAACCCAGTGACATGCATAATTTTTTCAGCAGCATGAAGAGAGTAAATGATCATAGACATTTCTTTCTAGGGGAGTTATTTTTCACCGCTAAAGTAGAGCATATAGAAGCAAGATCAAACGTTCTTCTGAGCTCTTAGCAAGGTTTATCTTTGGGATAAGAACTTCACACACCAATCCA